AGCATCAACAGCCATTTCATTTATACAATAAAAATCACAAGAAACCACAGTCACCTAGGAAAAAAATAATAATAATAGACAAGCTTAAGAACTAGTACAATAGAATGATGCATTGAATTAAGTTACATTAATCGCATAGAATCTGTGTAAAAAGTATATAGAAAAACACCTGATGCAACTTGTTACAGTCATTGACCAGTTATGAGAGGTACAGAGGATTATACAGGTAGATATGTGTGAAAACTGTCCATATTGTCTGACCTGGGGAGGAAGAGAAGAGGGGTTGCATCCCCTTGCATACACTGATAAAAACCCTGTTTTGAATATGGCCTCTGAAGTTTGTAAGGCATATAGTAGAGGTGCACTTGTATTCCCACTGGTTCTGGAACAAACTCTTAGGGGTTCTCCACCCCTGAAATCAAAGCTGACCCTTGAACTGAATAGCAAACATCAAGCATCCAAAGATCTCCAAAGTGTTTAGAATACGTAGTTAACAATGATTGGAGAGATTGCAGTCCTAGAACAAGAAGTGAATACCAGATTCTGAAGCATGTATTATCCTTTCTGGAATATTATAAAAAGGGCTCACAATCACTTTTGACAAAATGTCATGTTTTAAGAGTAGGTGGGGGGGAAGCCCCCCCCATAGGTGTTCAACACTGCTCCTTCCTGACCTGTTAAGACAGCGCACTATGCAAAACTGTAGGCTGAACGTTCCATTCCATATGTTCTCAGAACTGAATGGGTCAGCAACTCCAGATTCTGAAATGGAGACCCATGCCACACTTTGAGCAATGATAGAAATCAACTGCTGACAAAACTGTTTAAAGCTTCTCCATTTATAGCACTTTAATCCTATGCATACTTTTCCAGGAATAAGCGCCATCAATTGAACTCAGTGAGACTTACGTTTTGAGTAAAAATGCAAAGGATCAAGTTGCACAAACCATCAAATCAATTGCCACACTGCATAGGTGTCTAAAATGGTATGTAAACCAGACTTAGATAAAAAGAGCTCATATTTAGGAGGTGTCTGATAATAAAAGGTATTATCTATTTTTTTAAGATTGAGAGATAAATTTGAACAATTGCTCCCCACTTAAAAAGTGGTTTTTCATCACAACAATGGTAGAACATTATAAGAGCATTATAATTTAAAAACAAACAGATATCACTAGTTTCAATTTGAGATATATATAATATTGGTGGAGTGTAGGAAAATACTGTAATTTTTTACACGGCAAGCAATGACATTCTAACTTCCAGAGAAAATTATAATTTATTAGTAGTCTACAATCCACCAAACTATAGATTTTTTTTAATATACATAAAAATTGTTTGAATGGATTTAACATATGTACATGTACAACTCTATTCTGCAGCATCATTTGATGCCTGAGTCACAAAATAATTCAAATATTATAAATATACATAGTATAAACAAGCAAAATTACACACACACTGATTTTATATTGTAGATAGAAATTAGCTACCACATGTTTAGTAAGGTTTCCCTTAGGCTACATCAAGTCATTCCCCCCATCCATCTTCTCTAAATGGATTGTTCTTTTTTAAAGTACACATTTAAACTGATGCCATGTAAATAAAAGAACAATTAAACAGAAAATCTGTGTGTGTGTTTGTGTGTGTGTGAGAGAAGACCGCCTCCTGGAGTCATTGGTCTGAGCTAGTTGGTGAGGAACTTGTGTTTGCATAGGCTTATCGAAACTACCTCTAAGGCCTGATATTCAGGGGATGCCCCAGCAGCTTCACAGGCTAAACCACATGGTATGACTTTTTTTTAAAGGAAAAAAAAGCAATTAAGAGCATACAAGGGGTAGAGATTACCACCAGTTTCTAAAAGAATGTCACAATGGATCTGGAATGAGATTACCTTATGCTCTATTAAAGGCCCCAAAGATCTCTCTGTTTTAGAATTATTCTGACTCAGGCAGGTACACAGACACTAAGTACACAACAGTTGTAGCAAGGGTTGCTATATTCCAGCCAGAACAGAAGTTCTTTTTTCTTTAAGAGAGCTGACGGAAAACTGAGGTTGAAGAGGTGCAACTGCTGTATTCTCATTGTAGTTCCATAGCTATAATGGCTGAATGTCAAAGTTCACAGCTCTTAGAGAGAGAGAGAATCCCTATCAGAGACTATTGAAGACTAGATTTTTAAAAAATCACAAAACTCTCTCTATGCAAATATACTTCTAGATTTTTATGGAAGCTTTCCAATTTACTAATTTGGCAATGAGTCGAGTGCAACCCTTTACCACCATGTTATCAGCAGCTGAATCTGTCTCATTAAGGTTATCTAACTCCCACTCTCCCTTTCAAAGAGATAATAGTTAGAATACTTATCACAGTGGCTAATGTATCCAATGAATTTTCTTTTTTACTTCCTTGGGAACAAAAATACATGGATTAGATCCAAAAAAAAATTATATAGTGCATCTTCAAAAGCAGCATATATCCTTAAAAAGACATTGAATAATTTACTTGTACAATATATAAAATAATAGTTTTACACTGCAGCATCAAACTCTTGACGCCTGAGTCATTATTTGTTAGGCCAAGAATATAATTATGGGATAGTCACTTGATTGAGTCGTTTCTTTTCAACTAGCTCTTTGTTCCAGAATCAGGTTGCAATGAACTTCAGCTGTATTCAAGGCACCCCCAAGACAATGCAAATATATTACATAGTGTAATACTCACCTGACAAAAGTAGAATAAGCCTAAATGAAATGAGGTTTTCTGGCAATACAAAGTACAGCAAAGGCAAAGAAAAAAGGAGGACTAGATAAAGACTGGACAGGACCAAATGCATAATCTGTACATGCTAAATTGCATCAGTGCAAAATCAGCTATTGTATCGCACAAAAATGTCAAACCCAGCAGAACGTTAATTCCTTTTTAAATTAAGAAATTAATTAATATCAATGAAGATTCCTTGTACCTTGCTGAACAATGCAGACATATTTTTAATTTAAAAATAGAACATTGGTCAGTTATTTGTTTTTTTTCCTCCAGCCCAATCAAACATCAGTTTCTGTCCAGTTCTGAAGCTAATTCTCCTCAATGTCTCCCTTGAAATTAACCCAAGAGCCACATGTGGTTCCGAAGAACCGTATGCTATATGTAGTCCAAGGAAGCAAATATATAAACCCATCACTTCTAAACGGTGAAGATCCAAACTCAAAACATCCTAAGAAGCATGAAACAAGAGATGTCTCTGAGCAGTGGATTTTTAAAAATCAGCCAGTTTCTATTTTTTTAAAAAAGAACAGGACAAAGGGAAAAAAAGGTAGCAAGGCCCAGCTCCAATGAGAGAGCCGGGCCAATACAACAGGTAGAGAACAGTATGTTCTGCCATTTACATTTAAACCATTGGAATGAGGTCAAAAGTACCAGTTGCACATGAGTTGGTGTGACAGTAAATTTTCACGTCAGAAAAATAGTTTAGACTCAGTTTAATAACAATTTTAAAAAACACCACTAACTGATGGAGGTCACTTAAAAAAAGGCAATAGAAAAAAACACAACATTTGATGAATACTGTCAATTAAACAACAACAACAGCAACAATACCAAAATCTCAAATGCCAAAACCTGGCAATGAAGCTATAATGCAATTCACATGTAGCTTTAAATCTTAGCTTTCAAACACTGTCATCTCACAGAAGTTAAGATCTCTTTGCAAAGTACAGAAGGGCTCTGCGACGTCAAGTGATTATAAAAATATGCCCATATATTCCCAGCACAGACAGAAGACGCAGCTTGGCTGGACAACAATATTCCAAGTTGAATCCACCAGCCAGCATGGTCATGTTGGCTGGGGAGTTATGTTATAATCTTGTTTAGATTATAACAAGCAGCGCTTCCATCTGCATTCCGTAAATCCTTTCACACCCCCCCTTACGGAGTTTATTTTTTTCTAGCACAAAAATGGTTACAAGCTTCCAATGTTATGAAACAGCAATGCTTTTTGAACAAGCCAGGATCTCCCACCCTGGTGCCCAAGCAGCATGCTTGAACTAGCATCCATATGACATATATAAATATATGAATAATTAGATAGAAGCTTTTTAAAATTTATGTTACAGAAATGGCTAATACTTAAATTATACATACATATATATATATATATGTGTGTGTGTGTGTGTGTGTGTGTGTGTGTGTGTATGTCTATATATATAGACACATATATACATATACATACATACATACACACAAACACACACATTTTAAAATTATAGCTTTCCAATATATGAGAGGACATCTCATCCTTCCCACTCAATATATGTGGCACATGCAATGGATATATCTACTGCTTGGCAGGTAGTCTGCAGTGGATTTGGAGTCAAGAGCAGTGACCAGACTGGCAAGCTGCCTCTGTAGGCCAATTGCAAAATTAAAGACACAGCGAATGCTAATTCTTCCCCAGTAAAAAACACTCAAGGCCAATTTACTGAGTGTCACACTGCATAGTGTAAACATTGGCATGGAGGAACACAACTGTCAGAGTTAATAGAAAAGTTAGCTGTCGAACTGTGGCCCTAGTTAGTCATTCTGAAATCCAGAAACATCAGTATGGTTACGAGGCAGGAATTAACCCTGCCCCCTTCATCACACAAGCAGCAACAAATGTGAAGAGAAGAGGTTCATGTTCTTCATTTGAGCAAGAATCCTGGCAAATCTGATGCACCTGCTCAACTTACACCTGGGCAGGACCTTCCTCCTCTTCAGACTTACTCCTACTTGCCTCAGCAGAGCAGTGAGAAAAGGGGGTAAGGCTAGCGTCTCCCCTGTAACAACATTATTGTGTCTGGATTTCTGAGAAGGACTTAGGTGTTGTGTCCCAATACAGTGTGACCCACAGTAAAGGAGAACAGTACTAATCTGTAAACCACAGATGTCAGTGTAAAAATGTAGGTCGATGCATTTCAGCATAGGCAAAGTAGAAAGCCACTTAAAAAGAACAGATTGGAAAAAGACACAATTCTTCAGAGGTGGGAGGGCGAAACTTTTACATAAATCTTCTTAAAATCCATGGAAACTGTGCAAACTTATACTGGTCTGGCAAACTGTATTAATCTCAGTGGTGATGGAATAAGAAGGTTCCTGGCGGAAAGTGCCCACCTGATCTATTGCCACTTAGATCAGCAGACTGAAGCAGCAGTAAATGCTGTGTCCAAAAAAAGAAAAGTGGCTCTGGGCAACGTTCATGGTGTAATTCCAATGCTGCACTAGTACCAAAACCACTGGCATGATTGAACTTTCTCTGCTCCCCTGCAGTCCTCTGCACTGCCTGAAAACCAGATCCGTAGGATTTTCTCCCTTCTCTGGGACAGAGTTTTGTAGTGCATGGGAAGGAGAGACTGCAACCCTTGAAGTCCAACTATTAGAAGCAATTTTACAGCAGACGGACCCCTCTGCGCACTGGGCTCTGTTAGTTACTTAAGTCAGCTAGAATTCTATGAATTGTCTCCAAGTTTCAATGCTTTTCAAACGACTGCCATAAAGTGCCATCCTCTAAGGCAAAATTTGCTCTGTGCTGATGAAAATGTTGTGAGTTAAGAGGAGCTTAACAGCATGCATCTCTTTTTAATCCTTGGGTTTAGCGATTGCTCTGAGTCTTGGCACGTCCCTCTAATCCAGAAAACATCATTTCCCATATTCCAAAGGGGCTGTATTAGACTGAACTGGGTCCAAGGTAAAAAGGAAGCAAGTGTGGTAAACCATGATAATTAACACCTGCATTAAAGCAATGTTAGAATTATATGCTGAGGCCTCCTTGAAATGAAAAGCACTAGTACAAAAAAGATTAAGAGCTGCAGAAGGAAGCTCAGTTCAAATTTCACTGAGAACCACGAAAAAGCATTCACTGATGTAAACAGCAACGGGCTTAAGCCACTGTTATCAATGTCAGTAACAGAACACTAACCCCTGAACAGTTGTTAAGTATTACTAAATATTGAGCCACACTCAACAAATGACAAACAACTCTTCAAGAAAGAAAGCAGCCATATTTGATTTGGGCAAGAAAAGGGGGTGGATGGGAGAGAAATACAGAAAATACGCAATTCACAGGGTTGAGTGAATTCCATATTTGGCAAGATTCTTATTTCTCCACGTAATCATCTCCTGAGTGCTGCAGTTTATTTTCCTATTTTATTTTAAAAAGGATAATAATAATTATAATAATAATTATAGTAATAATAATAATAATAACAACGACAATAATAAATGAAAACAAAGAATACAATATACAATAACTTCATTTACGAAAAAAGGCTTCATCCAAAACTCAGTGCAAGTGGCAATGTTGACCATCGCTGTACAGTATTTGTGAGAAAATTAGAGTAAAACCCACTTTGCTCAAACGGGCACAAAACGCAAAACAAAGGACAGCTGTGCCATGAATGCTGTCCATGTTAAATTTTCGAACAACATCCCAATAGTAAAACAGTATAAATAAGGTACAAACCGAATGATATTGCTGAACTGTGAACTGAGTGGTGAGAGGAAAGTATTAAAAATTACAAACTACTCCTAGTAGACAAAAAAAAAGGAATGTTGGAATTCATTTATACAATAGAAATTAAAAATTTCCAGTTGTTTTCATGAGAAAAAATTGAGGCATGCAGGGATTTTTTTTGCATATGGATATAATATTTTTATATATACTATATATAGTATGTACAGTTAAGCTATAAAACTTTGATGTGTAAAGAAGCTGTCTTCAATGAAAAATTGAACATTCAGAGGAAATTCCTGAGTTAGGGTTTTGTGACACGGGCCACTGAGAAAAAAAGCTGTGTTTGGGTCCTCAGAGGTGTTATGTCCATCCCTGTTGAATACTGAAATTAAAATACAACAACAACAACAACAACGGTAACAACAACAATAACAATTAAAAAAGAAAGAAAGAAACTGACAGTGTTGCCACTGTTTTTTCCCCCTGCCTGAGCAAGGGATAGCACCATAGTGAAGAAGATCAACTCCTGCTTGTAGAGAGGAGGGAATACTTAAAAACAGTATTGCTGCTAAGACCACTGTAGTGTGCACCAAATATGTTCTTCAATCTAAACAAACAAAACCGCCGTGGCCACTGGCTTACTAAAGAATACCTTGCTAGGCCTGTTGTCAAAGCTACATCGCCACTAGGTGTATTCCTTCCTAGGTTGCTCGTCTGTCGTACATTTATCAGTCATTTCCTGACAGAAGTCCACTGTCACCGTTTGGTTATTTTGCTCTAGAGGGAGCTCCTGCTCGGAGTAAGTACCTTGGTCAGCTCCATCCAGTACTCTTGCACATTTCTCAGAAATGTTGTTGGGCAGCCAATGAGCACCTAGCTGCTGTCCAGGGCTTGGCTCTGAACAGCACTGCAAGCCTTCCCCGACACACTGGGACGTCACTACGTTTTGATCTACTCTGGCTGGCGAAGGATTGATACTGGTTGCTGTCGGAAGATCCACAGGCCTGAGAACAGGGCAGTATCGGTGCAGGTCTTGGATCTGTTCGGAGCTCTGCATATCCCTACACACTTCTTCAGAAAGGCAAGAGAAGTTATCTAACAGCTCTCCCATGCATGCTTTCAACTGGTTCCTTTCTGATAGAAGTTTCTCTTTCTCACAAACCTGGGGGGGGGGAAGAAAAGGAACAGCAAAGATAGGTGTTAGTTTTAAAGAGACATATTCTGTGTATCGGGCTTCAGCTTTGTAAACTCAACAATAATGCACGGCAGAAGTGAGCCATGGGCTATTCAGAATGGGGTGGTGGAATCTGGGATGGTTAGGGGTGGCGTTAGGATTTCACAATTTTTTTAATTTATTTAAAATATTTTCACCCTACCTTTCTCCTTAAAAGGACCCAAAGCAGTTAAAAGACAATAGTTAAAAGCTAAAAACTGGGAGTATACAAATATAAGAAAGACCTGAACATGATATTTAAAACTTCAATAAAATTAATACTAAAACTGCATTTAAAAGCAATAGAGCACAACAATCTATTTTTTAAAAAACCACTCTCCAACTGCCAGTCACTAAGGAAAAACCTGCCTGAAAAGAAAAGTGTTTGCCTGCTTATGAAAGGAGAGCAAAAATGGGGCCATCCTGGCCTCCAGTGGGAGGGAGTTCCCAAGTCTGGGAGCAACAATGGAGAAGGCCTTCTCCCGTGTTCCCACCCAGCACAACTGTGAGGGTGGTGGGACCAAGAGAAGGAACTCTCCTCATGATCTTAATGTCTGGACATGCTCATTGAGGGAAATGCTGTCTTTTAGACCAGTGGTCCCCAACCTTGGGCCTCCAGATGTTCTTGGACTACAACTCCCAGAAGCCTTCACCACCA